ATAATAATAATAATAATAAATTACAATGCTTAATCGTTCATTAAATGACGACATTCCATTGTACTTAACAATGTGATTTAATTTTAATTTAATTTTATTAATTAATTGAAAATTTCATTTTATTTATTGATCATTTGGAGAACAGGAAAAAAAGGTAGAAAGAAGAAAATTCATTGGAATTATATTTATTATTGTTGTTGTTGTTTACTTCGATTACGTCATTTCTTTTTTTTTTTTTTTTTTCCAGATCATTTTTTTTTTTCAATTTCATCTCGTAAAATTGATCTCCAACGTGTTCCTTATTCTCCAATACAAAAAAAAAAGAATAATNATTTCATTTTATTTATTGATCATTTGGAGAACAGGAAAAAAAGGTAGAAAGAAGAAAATTCATTGGAATTATATTTATTATTGTTGTTGTTGTTTACATTCCGTCATTTTTCTATTTCCTGTCTTTTTCCAGATCATTTTTTTTTTTCAATTTCATCTCGTAAAATTGATCTCCAACGTGTTCCTTATTCTCCAATACAAAAAAAAAAAAAGAATAATTTTATTATTCGTAAATTATCGTGAAAGTTATTGTTCAATATGTTACTTTCCTTTCCCGAAAGTAAGATAAAACATCATAATCGTTATAGTTCGTAATATTTTTTACAGGAAAAAGAAAATTATAGAAAGAGTAAGAGAGAAAGAAAGAGAGAGAGAGAGAGAGGAAGAGAGAGGGGAAGAGAAATATCTTTGTTTTAATTTTAAACAATATTTTTCCACAAAAGCGACAAAAATTAAAAATTCAAACGTTCAAAGTTCATATACAAATTTAAGTATAGACAAATATTTATGTATTTTTTTTTTTTTTTTTTTAAATAAATACGCATATATGTATGTGTTGCATCTCACGACGCATACAAATTGTACATCAAATGCGCATGTTCCACGCATGCGTACTTTCTCTAACTTTGTTTTTCTTTTTATTTTTTGTTTTTTGTTTTTGGGATTTAATATTTCCAATAAATTGACAACAAACAAATGATTTCAAAGTTAATACCTGTTTTTTTTTCTTTTTTTCTATATTTTTTTTTTTTTAATATTTTCTTACCTTAAATATAATATTTTTGATTAATTATTTTTATTTTTTTGTAATAAAAAATATTAAAAAAGAAAACAAATAATTATTTAAACGTAATATACAAAAAAGAATTAATTTACATGAAAATTATATAATTTATAATTAAATGATAAATTAATAAAATAATAAAATAATAAAAATATTTAAAAAAAAAAAGGAAGAAAACAAAAATAATTATTTATATATATAGTATATAAAAATTATATAATTTATAACGATAAATAATTAATTAAAATTATTAAACTTAAATTGATTATACGAAAATTTAAAAACGTGCAATTAATTATTAAAATCATTATTAAAATCAAATTAATTATTAAAATTATTAAACATAAATTGATTACATTAAAATTAAAAAAAAAAACGTGCAATTTTATCCAATATGAAAACAACAAACTTTCAATATAATTTATCCATAAAAAAAAATATATTTAAAACGTTGTTAATTAATTTCTAAATTGACGTTTTGCATTCTTTAACTTTATTGCTAAA